CTCATTCAATTTTATGTCTTACAGGGCTTATACTGAGTTCAATATTGTATAACTGTATTAATTGAACTGTGATCCTAGAAACTTGCACCCACTTGTGAAAGAGATGTTACTCTTGCTCTGGAGTGTGTTACTGAATATGTTAAAGCTGTAATGAAATGCTTCTTCTAATCATGTAGTTATTAAAAAATTTTTTTTAAAAAAAGATCTTTGGATCTGTATTTGATCTTGTAAATTGTTGCATATTTACAGACTGACAAAATCCTGGCTGATGTCCTGGTGGGGGAACATTAAAAGATACACAGCCTTTGAAGTGTATAACTTAATGACCTTATTTTATGTTTAGGTCTTCAATAAACTCATCAGGAGATACAAGTATTTGGAAAAGGCATTTGAAGATGAAATGAAAAAGGTAATAATTCAATATAGTACCTATTTCTTTAAAGTGATGGAATGTATGGGGACAGACCGTAGTTGTCCAAAAGTCCATGTGAACAAAATCAGCCTCGTTGTAAGCCACTAAGAAGATAGAAGCTTAATTCAGCTATCTAGAAGTGGAGCCTTGGAAAGGTGAAAAAGATTAGGCAAAGTCCTTTGATGGAATCCTGGTGGCTTTATAAGGAGAAGTGGGGAGAGGAGATACAGATTTACATACACTCTCCCCATGTCTTGCTCTATGATGCCCTGAACCACCTTTGGACTCCGCCAGGAAGATCATTGCCTTAACCTTGGACCTCCAGCTTCGTGAGCTAAAATAAACCTCTTTTAATTCCACCTATTACTGACATGTTACTAGCAATAGAAAATGGGCAAAAACAAATGGGTTTGATTCCCAGTTTCAGAAGGAAAAAAGGGGGTGGGGGCAAAAAAAATTACTTGCCTCGGGTCAAACTACTACTCAATGGTTACTCTGCACTTTGCTTTCTCATTTAATTTCTCCTTATTTTTTCATGAGCTATGGCCTCAATCTTTAAAAGATAGCATGGTGCTCCAATGTGTGGTAGGTTGTAGCCAGTCTCCCATCAGTGAACAGTGTTATCTACAAGCATCTTTGTACACAGATCTTATGTTTCTCTCTCTCTCTCTGAATGTGTGTGTCTCTCTGTTTCTCTGTCTCCTTCTCTGTCCCTGGGATCTGGTATATATCAGTCACTATGTAATCCAGGATAATCTTGAATTTCTGATCCCCCTGCATCCACCTGAGTACTAGGACTGCAGGCATGTGCCACTAAACCCACTTTTGGACCAGATGAAAATTAAACATTTGAAGTCTTAGGAACTCTTTTTGTCCCAGAAGTAACTCTGTTGTGTTAGTATACAAAGCGTTCAGAAATTTGTTAGATTCAATCAAAAAGTTTCACTGTCATCTGGATGTTATACTATAAAATCAATGTATGACTGATTATAAAATACCAACATGAAACAACTTTATTAAAAAATCTGCAGAAGCTGAAGAGATGTCTCAGCAGTTAAGAGCCCTGATTGCTCTTTCAGAGGACCTAGGTTCAGTTTCCAGCACCAACATGGTGGCTAACAACCAACTATAACTCCTGGTGATTCAGTGCCTTCTGGCCTCCTCAGGGACTGCATGATCTGGGTGCACTTATATACTTGCAGACAAGACACTCATACATGTAAAATAAAAATAAATACAAAAAATTGTTAATCTGCAAGTGCGCACCTCAAACTCTACGTAATATTCTAAGAGAGTAGAGTTACAGGACATTTTCACATCATTTTTCTTTACATCAACTTAAAAAACCATATATTGCCGGGCTTGGCAGTGCACGCCTTTAATCCCAGCACTTGGGAGGCAGAGGCAGGCGGATCTTTGTAAGTTCAAGGCCAGCCTGATCTACATAGTGAGTTCCAGGACAGCTGGGGCTACAAGGAGACCCTGTCTCAAAAAGAC